CCTTCTTCAGCTCGCGTCCACGATTATCAATTGCTTCTTGGCTTCTAGAAGACCGTTTTCCTTTCCCTTTATTTCGCTAGGTTCTCCAATGTTGAATTACGCAAGCTTTGCAGAGTTGGTAAGATGTAACTGGAGCTAGCAATTCTTCAACTTATCGACAAGCCTGTAGCACAAAGAGGATCTTTTATAGGTAGAGAAGGTTGGATTTGTATGCGGCCAGGGATCCTGACAGCTTTACCACCAACATGGTAAGCTGAAGAGCTGTTATACGTTATATCCTCGCTGGATATTGCAGAGTTCATTGACTCAGGTGCCCATGCACATTGCAAGATCAGGACTGTTACACACGAGACGAGAATTTGCAATCGTGGTATAGTGTTAGCTTGCTCATTCCCAGGTGAAGCCAACTATGTAATCTCATTTCTGGTGCTGATTCTTGATAATTATAACTAGCATCTCTTCTCCCCTTGATTGACGGCCCATCCCTTCATACCTCAGCTCTGCAGTCTTCTCTCTTATATTCCTCTACGATTGCTATGTTACTACATTATCACTGATATTGCTCATATATACCTTTGTATCTTCTTTCTAATTGCCTTTGTAATTGTAGTTGTATATGTATAGTGCCTGTTTAAAGTCATTTCCTGATTTATGTATCTGGAAAGCTCTAGATATAAGATCTAGAGTCACTAGAAAGAGGCGTGCAGTTAGATATTTTGCTAACATATACTTTGACTCCAGTTTAAAGTTTTTTGGAGAGAAAAAGCACCGATCAGTCAGAAAGCTTCTGCTGAGCTGTTGAGCATAGAATATTTGATAGAACGACAGAGAACGTCACCAGAAGTCCCCGGATCTCCATAGTGTTTTGTGGTGATATCCTGACAGCGCTGTGTTGAGCCTCCTCCTCCTCCTCCTCCTCCCCGACACTGCTGCATCCTCACAATATCTCTACTATTTAAGGACCTCCTTTTCCCAGTACATCTCCTCCTTTCCTTTTTCTTCTCACCCCAAACACTATTCTCTCCGCAAAAGCAATTTACATCTCACCTCACCTCAAACTCCAATCCATCTCAAGCTTGCTGTTGTTCAGGGCTAAAGGGTCTCGTCAGGAACGTTGCCCTTCCTCTCTCTCTTCCCTTCCTTCCCTTTAACTTCTTCTTCTCTGCTTTCCGCTCTCAACTGGTCCTCACGTACAAACCGACGTGACTTTCTTCTCCACCTTCTCCGACAACCATCGAACCAAGGTAAGATACCATACACTACTGCTATTTTCTCTTTACTTCACCATTTTGCTTGATAAGTTTCTATGCTACATGTATCGAGCTCCCTTCAGAGCCTCTACCTAGATGCTTCCTAAGTTGGAGCGTGACAATCATATTTTGCAACGGGTTTCGAAGCCACCAAGAACTGGTTGTCTGGAGACTATTTGTTTGACTGTGGGCTCGGCTCGAAACCCGTTGCAAAAAGCAAATTTAGGTGGCTCTAAACAGAGATCGCAGCCTCGATACTTAGTCGCGATCCGGGCTCGATACAATCAATTCATTTGTTTATTCTGCCTGTTAATTGTACCAATATTCCTCTAATATTTGGCTGGATAAAGCTCTTCTTCCTCTTCCCCGATTTCTCTTTTTCTCTTTTCTCTTTTCTCTTTCCTACAACCTTCTCCCTCTTCTCTTCTCTTCTCTTCTCTTCTCATCTAACCAATCTTACCTTCTACTCAGTTCGACATCATCTTCAACTAAAATGCCTGCAACATCTCACACTCCTACCGGTGCTCCTAAGGCCGTCCTACCTGAAAAATTCTCCATTGGATTTGAAGGAACCGTAAGTTATCCATTCTAATGCTCTAAGTTTTATCCACAGGATGATGAACATAGCTAATGAGTTATTTGTAATAATAGTCTTTGGTAAGCTGAGCTCTAGATGCATATATTTAGACTCCATGCCGAAGCAATTTGATCCTGATATCAATTCGTAGTATCCTCGTGTTGGCTATGGCAAACGTGGCAGAGTTGCCAAAGTATTTTGTAACTCTTATCGTGTCGCAAGCTTCCCTACAGCCACCATTTACCAATACGATGTAAGTCTTTTCCATTCATCTTGCATCATTTTTTTTGAAGCTCCTGCTAACTTTTGTGACTATAAGGTCCAAATCACTGGTAAAGGTGATGATAAGCGTGCCACTCTACGCAAAGTTTGGTATTCACGTTCCATGCAAACGCACTTCGGAGCTGCAACTGATGCTTTGCTCTACGACGGTATGTTATAACTGACTGCATTTTCCAAATCATCTTGGAAATTATTTCTAACGTGGAATACGATACTAGGTAACCGCTTGGCCTGGTCGATAATTCCGCTGCCATTCGGTGAGGAGCTCAATATCATTATTGATCTCGATGATGGTAAGTTTTAATATCTTAGTTCCAGCTTCATTAACCTCTAAGTGTTAACCTCCTTTGAAGATAACCCCAGTGACCGTCCACGACGCGGTGCTGAAAACAAGTTCCGTGTTCGTATTCGCAAAACATCCCGTGTTCCACTTCAATGCACAGAAGCCTACGTCAATGGAAAATATAAGATGGATACCGATGTCCTCGTCGGCTTCAATTTTTTGGATCACTTGCTTCGTGAGACCCCCGCAAAGCACTTCATCACGATCAAGAGATCGTTCTTCAAAAAGGCCGGTGCTCAGCGTCTTGACGGGGGTGTTGAAGCCTGGAAGGGCATCTTCCAGTCTATTCGCCCAGCTGAGGGCAATCTTCTTACTGTCAACGTCGATGTTGCAGCAGCAGTCTTCTGGAGTGAGGGAACCGTCCTTCAATGTGTCCAAAATCTTTTCAAGCTCGGAACCCCGGAAGATCTCATCACGAAGTTGAGATCTGATCATGGAAAGCGTGAACTCAAGCGTGTCAAGAAGGTTCAGTTCTACACAAAACATCGCAACACTGAAAAGGAACGCCAAAAGAAGTTCACTATTGAGGGCTTCACCAAGAATAGCGCTCGCGATGAAATGTTCGATGTTCGTGACCGTGAATCTGGCATGGTTACCCGCCTCTCCATCGAGACGTACTACTACAAGCATTACAATATCCGCTTGCGATACCCACAACTTCCTCTCATCCAGACGAAGAATAAAAACATCTTGTTCCCCATGGAACTCAGTTTCGTTGCTGAGGGCCAACGTTACCCTTATAAGTTGGATGACAAGCAAACGTCTGACATGATCCGCTTCACTGTCCAAGTAAGTACTAAATTCTCCATATACCTTGGCTTCCTAAGCTAATACTCTCAATCAATTTAGCGTCCCAATATTCGTCTTGAGACTATTAGACAAAATGTCAACGAGCTTAACTGGAAGGATGATCCTATTTTGCGCCACTATGGCATGAAGATCAGCCCTAACATGATCACTGTAAGTTGTATTAGTTGATTTTACCCCTCTGAACTTAACTAATATTATTTATGATAGACGCAAGCTCGAATCCTTGACGCCCCAAAGATTGCTTACGGTAATGGCTCAAAGGATGGAACCTTTAATCCTCGTGATGGACGTTGGGATCTTCGTGGGAAGAAATTCGCCCGAACAACCACCTTAAAGTCATGGGCCATCGGCATCGCCGCTCAACCACGTCGTGTCCCCATGGAAGTCGTCAAAAACTTCGTTCGCCAATTCATCCTCGCCTTTGTTCAACATGGTGGGACTGTCGAGACAAAGGAACCACCAATTATGTACCTTGATCCCAACAAGGACATGGCTGCCTCCTGTCAAGAACTTTTCGTCACGGCAGGAAATGTCACAAGAGCCAAACCTCAAATTGTTTTCTTTATCCTCACAGCTAAATCCGCTCATCCATACAACGACATCAAGGCTGCATGCGAGACCCACGTTGGCATTGTTTCCCAATGTAAGTTATATTTAAAATTGACCATAAATCTCTGTCTGATTACTGACTCGCTTTTATAGGTCTTCAATCGAAGCATGTTGAACAGGCCAAAGCCCAATACTGCTCCAATGTCTGCATGAAGGTCAATGCTAAGTTGGGTGGAACGACCGTTTATTTGGACAAATCTTCGCACCCCTTCTTCGGACAGGAGCCTACAATGTACATTGGTGCCGATGTCTCTCACGGTGGTGCTTTTGGTTCTGGTGGTATGAAGTCTGCTTCGTTCGCCAGCATGGTTGGATCCATTGATGGTAGGTTCTTACTAGGTATCTGTTTCCCTTTACGAATTGTACTGACTTCTCAAATAGTCCAAGGTGCCCGCTACTCGGCCATTTGCAACACCAACGGTCATCGCGTCGAGTGTATCACGACACCGAACATCATGAAATTTTTACCAACCTTGCTCAAAAACTACCGCCGCTCAACTAACCAGGTCCCTAGACGTATAATATACTTTAGGGATGGTGTTTCCGAGGGCGAGTACAGTAAGATTATTGAATACGAGGTTGCTGACATCAAGCGAGCCGCCAAATCACTTGATCCTAATTTCGAGGTGAGTTCGGGTTTCCTATGAAGAAACCATGTTAATCTTCCTGCTAACAGTGTTTTAGCCCAGGATGACTGTCATCATCTGTACCAAGCGCCACCACAGCCGCTTTTTCCCTGTTGACAAGCATGCTTCGGATCGTAATGGCAACATCGTTCCCGGCACTATTGTCGATAGAGATGTAACACACGTTACTGATTTCGATTTTTTCTTGTGCTCGCATTCCGCAATCCAGGGTACAGCTCGAGCTACCCGTTATACGGTCATGTAGGTTTTGATTCAACTATATCCCGCTGAGTAAAGAGTTAACTGACCATCCGATAGCATGGACGAAAATAAGCTCGAAGTTGACCGTATTCAAGGGTTGATCTACAACTTCTGCTATACCTATATGCGCGCTACCAACTCAGTCTCCCTTGGTACGTCACTCTTTAGTAAATTAGGTTTTGGATTAAATAGCAGCTAACTGGTTCTTAGTCCCACCTGTCTACTACGCCCATTTAGCTTCTTCACGCGCTCGTGCTCACGAGATCGGTGCTAACGATAAGGAGAAACAGCAGGGGATGGAGACAACTCCCTCTGGAACCCAGAGAGAAGGATCTCGTCTTCCTACTACCAACCTACCTTCCGAAGACATTCGTCCTTTGGTTGGGGACGTCGTTACGCAAATGTGGTACATTTAATTGCCATGTGATATCTTGCCCTTTTCGTCTTTTTCTGGCGGGATATGAAGATTTGTTGATCCGTTCTTACTAGCCTTCTTTTCTGGACTGCAGCTATCACTGGGCACTTCAGTCACGATGCTAAGCGGGAATCTTTTCTAGACCTTTTCTTGGACCCTTTCTTTACTGGGCCAGCTTCTTTGGGTTTCTTTTGTTTTAATACACTGGGTTTTATTCTTTTTTTCGGTTTCCATTGGATGACTCTCCTGTTTTCCCTCTTACACCTGTATCACCGTTTACATGCATTTGTCTTTCACTCATGTATAACAAGAAAGCGATGTCAGACAGAGACAATATTAGAGGGACTTTACTTTTTACTTCGGTATTGGGCTTAATGACTTAGATCAGTGATTCAATAGTATTATAAGATCCCCCCAGACTGTCGTCTATGTCAAGCCGATACCAACAGGTCTAGATCTTGTTGGGTTTCTCTTGCGTTGTCAAGCAAGGACGCCACACGGTTAACGGCATCTGTTTGGAGGAATAATGGCGGCTTGATCGGGCAGTTCGGAACATCGGGTGCCTCGAATACCTGCAGCACAAGACACCGGGGAGGGGTCACAGGGCTAATCTGTCCATCGATTGCGAGGGGAAATCTGGGGAAAAGAAGTATTGGAACGTATTATGACCTGAAAATGCATTTAAATGTCGCAACCATTTCCCGCTTCGAAGGGATAGACTTCCGTGGCCAAGCTGTGTGTAAGCCAGGCATCCTGGAATGTGAATTCGAAGCCTCGACGATAAGAGCACATGTAGATATCAATGCAGAATCGATGCACCTATCCAGATATTCACTTAAGTAAGTACATGTAAGGTAGTAGGGCTCATTAGTGCCGTTCTTAGCGGAGCAATGCTAAGTCTTTACTTGGTATCTACTAGTACTTAAGCTATAAGAAGTAATATACGTACACAGCAAACACTACACTCCTGAAATAACCTCTTTCGCCCTCTCTCTTAAGATCTTTCTCTTCTTTCCTCTCAAGGTCCATTAATTCCATTCCATCACCACATTCTGTCCATGCTGACCTGTCCGAGGCCGAGTTCGCCTGTTCGTGTCCGTGGCGCTGGAGCATTTCGCTTGGCCCTATTATATTAGTTAACTTAGTAGTCCCAAGCTGCCGAACGAGCTGTTTGTTGACCGACCCTGGGCAACCAAATAGGTACTACCTAACCACTTACTTCTGGGGACGGCTATCTCAGACGGCCCTCCCCTAGCTAAAGCTCTTCGCTCTTTCCCTGCATCGCCGGTCCGACGTCTTTGCAACCTCCCACAATGTCGGTCCTAATGTTTAGAGTCCGACGTTATCGGGTCCTGTTGCTCTTCTCTGCATTCGCCATCGCACTCTGGTACCACTTCTCGCCTACTGATGGTTCGTACTCTGCCAGCGATGAATGGTTACAGCCGACACACGATCGAGGAACAACAAAGGAGCAGATTAAGTCAGAATGGTCGGCTCCCGAGCCAGACGATGCTATGCCTCCAGCAAAGGGAAATCCTCATGGTATGAAACCAGAGGATACCTTAGAAGTCACGCCGACACCTTTATCGCTGCTGCGACCCGGGCAATTTGTCCAACCAAGTCTTGCTTCTGAGCTTGCTGCTTTGGAGACAGTAAGCGAATTCTGAAATTTGACCCGTTATCATCTAGGCCTGACCCTCTCTAATTACTTATCTGTGGAAATAGGATACCGAATCTGAGCCGGGGACGGAGACGGAAACAGAAACGGAAACAGAGCCATTCATACCGGTTAGACAGCCCCCAAGCCACGACCATGTATCACGGCCTCCACATTTCGATGACGTCCTTAGCGGTAAATTTAATACCGAGGACGAACTGAAGAAAGACAATGCTGCACATTGGACCAAACTACCAGAGCATTTCCCCATTCCGCCGGAATCTATCATCCCATTGCCTACAGGCAACCCTGTAAACCTACCTAAGATCCAGTTCAACTTTCAACACGGTTCTGAGAGCAACCAGCAACGAAATGAACGACTCATGCGTCAGGGCGCCGTAAAAGATGCATTTAAACATGCCTGGGAGGGGTATAGGAAATTTGCCTGGGGCCACGATGAAGTTACACCGGTCTCCGGGGGATCCAAAGACCCATTTGCCGGCTGGGCTGCTACTCTGGTTGATGCTCTTGATACGATGGCGATTATGGGACTTCACGCGGAATTCGAACATGCGCTTACAGGGGTCGCTAAAATCGACTTTACGACAACAAGCAGAAACGACATTCCGATGTTTGAAACCACGATTCGATACCTTGGGGGGCTCATTGGAGCCTATGATGTTACTGGCCATAAGCATAAGATTTTACTTGACAAGGCAATTGAATTAGCTGAAATTTTATACAATGCATTTGATACACCGAATCGAATGCCCGTCCTCTACTTCGAATGGCATCCGGAATCAGTCAAAAAGAAGCACCGTGCAGGACGAACTTCCTGTATGGCGGAGATCGGTTCCATGTCCGTGGAATTCACGCGATTAGCACAGATCACCGGGGAGAATAAGTATTATGACGCCATACAGAGAATTACAGACGAGTTTGAGAAGTTTTTGCCGAATACCACGTTGCCTGGCTTCTGGCCCACCGTATTGGATGCAAGCGGTTGTGAGTGGGTTGAAGAGGTTTATACAGTTACTACGACCATTTATCCTTCCCCGACACCTAAGCCGAATCTAAATGAAGATACTCCACCGGCTTTACCGACCAAAAAGCCGTTTGCTGTTACTAAGGAGAGACTTGAAAAGACAGAGGTGAAGACTGTACGCAAGCCGACTCCCCCAAGGGTTAGTGAGGAGGATGGCGAACTTGATGAGGAGAAGAAGCCAAGTTTGACACAGCCCAGAGAGGCAGCAAAGAGGAGTCCAGATAGTTCTGATTTTAGAAGGAGGAAGAGGGCTATTGATGATGATGACGATGAAACCGAGGGCCCTAATTCCGGCGAAGAACCTAGCCGTACTTCTAAAGTCTCCAATAAGGAAAAAAAGATGTCAGAACTCCAGAACGGGCTAGCAGAGATGGAAGAGAAGGCTAGCGAATCTGATAAGAAACAGGATGTCATTGCTGTTTCTCACAAAAATCCGAACGCACCAACAGTAGACGATGAAGACGAACCAACCACTCCATCTAAACCCAGCTTAAAGCCCAAACCAACTCCAACTGGGCCAGTCGTTAAAAAGCAGGTTTTGACTAGGGAAAGGTGCGTGCCATCTGGGTTCAGAATGAACGAGGGAGAAAACCACTATTCGTATGGTGGAATGGCGGATTCTACTTATGAATATCTTTTGAAGGAGCACCTTCTCCTTGGTGGACTGAAAGAGCAGTACGGCAATCTTTATCTTTCGACATACGAAACCGGTCGGGATAACTTGTTCTTCAGGCCGATGACACCGAAGAATAGCGATATCTTAGTGTCTGGACAAATGAAAGTTAGCTACGATTGGGATCGACATCGAACTGTCTCTCAACTGGAGTCTTCCGGAAGCCATTTGGTAAAAATTTACTTAGACGTCATACGAGATTTGAATTCACCTAGCTAATTTTGGTTCTTTAGACATGCTTCGTTGGTGGTATGGTTGGTATGGGATCGAAAATCTTCAACCGGCCTGAGGATCTTCAGGCAGCTATCAAGCTCACGGAGGGATGCGTCTGGAATTATTTTTCTACCGCTACTGGGATTATGCCGGAGGGTTTCATTATGACGATGTGCCCGAAGGGAGGTGATTGCAAGTGGGATGAAGACCACTGGCGCGCTTCAATTATTGCACCAAACGGCGAGGTTATGGACTCCGCCGAACAGCAGCATAACATTACCCTTGTAAATCCATATGCCGGGAAAGGTAGGAGCCCGATATATAGACGACAAGTAGGTTATGACGGCAACAAGGATCTTCCTCCACCTGCGCTTCCAAATACGCATGCAGATATAGAGAAGTACATGCGGACTGGGGAGAAGCCTACTGCCACACGAGAAACCGACGGTGCAGAAGCTCCCCAGCGTGAGATTCCACGGAAGGACCCCTATGAGCGATGGGTTGATAGTGTTAATGACCACATCAAATGGACGAAACTGCCGGAAGGTTACGTTCAAGTTAATGATCCCAAATATATCCTACGCCCAGAGGCCATTGAGTCCGTTTTCTATATGTACCGCATTACAGGCGATAGGAGCTGGCAGGATAAGGGATGGAAAATGTTCCAGGCGATTGAGAAGTACACGAAGACACTCATTGCGCACTCTGCCATCAATAGTAAGTTTCCAATATTCTTGAAGCTTGATCTTGGTTAGCCTGGAGATACTAATATGGCGCGATCCAGACGTTCTGGATACCCAGGCATTCCAAGTTGATTCCATGGAATCTTTTTGGCTGGCAGAGACTTTGAAATACTTTTATCTGTTATTCAGCGAGCCTGACGTTATTTCTCTAGATGACTATGTTCTGTGAGTTTCTTTTCTCCCCTTGTCAACCAAACAATATAATTGGTACTAATAGACGACAAATAGGAACACCGAAGCCCACCCATTGAAACGGCCAAAGCATAAGGCAGCATAACTGCCTTCTCCCCCTCTTTTTTTTATATAAAAATTCCCTTGTTTGTTGCTCTTTCTATACTTTGATAGGGACTTTTTTTTATTGTCATTACTCCCCTTGCCGTCCATTGGCATGAGTGCGAGTAGGCCGGTTACCAAAATATGTTTAACTTCGTTTGTTGTGTCTCCTTTAATGATACCAGGTCAGGCATTTCATCGTCCTCGTTTTTTTTGTTTTCTTGCTAGTGATTCTTTAAGTTTATTTCGTGTAAAACTCCATTACACATTGTATATCTCATAGATATCCAGTAAATCGAGGTGCCTTTAAAGCTTTGTGTGATCTCACAGTTCATTAAAATGTGGGTTTAAAAAAAAAGGAAAAAACTACATTGATCCTCCGTCTGGTAATATTATTTTTGCTAAAACATAACTATGTAAAACCCAGTTGCTAGTCGAGCATGTAACCAAATACCCATATAGCCAAGATGCCATGGAAATAAAACTAAAAAACTAAAAACTAAAAACGAACGGTTTTCTACCCAATCACAATAATCTCTCCCAAGTCACTGTGAAAAGGTCGATATGCTGAGGGAACGCCCATTCCTCCTAGTCGAAAGGCGGCAGCATATCACTTTCTTCAACAGGCCCCCCGCTTGCCGCCACACCCACGGTTCTCGCAGCAGCAACCGCTTCAGCAATCAGTGCCATATCCCTAGCATGACGTCTCCTATCCGCTTCTTCCATGTTCAAAACATCACCATCACTCCTTGAGGGACTTCCAATTAACTGTAAATCGTTATCGTCAAACTGTTGCAGTTCTTCAAAGTTGTCCATGATATTCATATCGTCCATTGTATCGTCCGTATGATGTGAATGATGATGCGAGTGATGGTGGTGGTGGTGATGGTGATGATGTTGCGCATGTTGCGAATGCTGCTGTGAATGTTGTGAATGTTGAGAGTTATGTTGCTGCTGGATCGCCATCTGTCGTACTACTTCTTCGACCATCGCTTGGTTGATGGGAAGTCCCGCGGCTGTCAGGAGGCTTACGCCGGTGCGGTTGACGACGCTACCAAGTGTTGGGTCTATGACTGATTGTTGTTGAGATAGTGACATGGCATCGTGCTGAGATCGGATAGATTGTGCGAGTTGATGGTGGTGATGACCTGGTGGTGATTTAACGGATCGATGAGGGTGGTCAATTAGTACGGATGGATGCTGGAGGTGATGTGTGGGTATTGGAGATGGGAGGTCGAGAATTGAGTCTGGATCTTGAAGCTGTGGAATACCCATCACCCCTTCGTCCATCTCCGGTTCACCATCTTCAACATTCCCACGGTTTGGAAGTTCACCTATCAAGCTAGCGGCGGCAGCGGCGGCAGAATTTGTAGAATTTGTAGCTTCGTTTTTATCAATTTCCTTCGATTTCTCAGTCGGTGTGATGGCTTTGACGACCGGCGGCCGTGCATTCTGTGTGCATTCCGCGCAGTTTTTAAGAACTTGGCTAACTGTTCTTTTAATCTGTATCCAATGATATCTATCCGCTATCTGTGCTGTCGTCTTATTTATCCCTCCATGTGCAATCTTATGCACATCTCTGGCAATTTCATATTGTTTTTGCGGGTCGGATATGACTTCTTTATCCTTAAGCATGAGCTTTTCACCAACGAGTTTATAATGCGTAGCTGCAGATCTAAGACGGGATTTCTCGGAACGGGTAGCAGAAGGTGGATATTTGCCCTTTTCGAGATAGTAACGAATCTTCTCAAATCTTTCATTGGACTGGAAGTCTTCCTCTTCTACTAGATCTCTCGAGAGAATTATGGAGTCAACCGGTTCGGTGGATCCAGAGGGGAGGAGGAGAAGACCTGCGGCTTTAATGGTGCCGATACGTTTGAAGCCTTGTGTTTCGAGGATATGGAGGATCGGTTCATTCGTTTCGTAGATTAAGTCGAACATGGCGGACGAATAGCCCTATTATTTCGTACCAAAAAAAAAGACCGGTTAGCTATCAGATTTGACAGATCTTTCTATGAACTGTAAACAGGAAAAGTAAGGTACCATACCAGTCTCGTAGCATAGTCCAAAAACGTGCTAATAAGCACTTTCCCTGCACCTTTCCCGCGAAAAGCCTCACATATCAAAAACTGACCGGTGCATATATGCGAGCTACGGCCAGGATATCTCGAGAATACAAGAAAGGTACCCACGCAGTCTGCTTCCCAGTCTCTCCCTTCGGAAAACAAGGATTCCTCCCGCCCCCTCATCACTACGGCGGCATAATTCGAGAACCAGTATGACTGGAACTGAGAGAGTGACATGGGGTCCGTGAACGGGAAGGTGTTCCCTCGGTCGATTTCATGATTGAATTCAGAGCAGAGCTTAAGAAGTAGTGGTTCTGGAAGTCGTTGGTTTGGTTGAATTGGGAATATCGTGATTGGGGTTACGCCTATTTAATTACCATGCGTGTTAATCGAAATGATATAATGCTTTTTTTTTTAACACTCAAGCTTAAAGAGTATTTGTGGTTTTCAGTGAGTAAGGTACCAAGTTACTTACGATCTTTAAAGAAGGCATGTTTAATAACCGGTTGGGTTGCATTTGTCAACCCCGCCGTCCATTTTCGTTTCCGAGCGAGGGGTTCGGACTCGGAAGAGGAAGATGCGAGAGCGCCTGCAATGGCGCCCGCGATGGCATCCTCTGGAGATGTACCTTGAAACCAGGCGATATCATTGGTTAGTTAGTTTTATAGGTGGAGAGAGGCCGTGGATGTTGTTTTGGAGGTTGATTTTCTGTTCTGGGGCAAAGAACGGGACGCTGGGTTTAGCGCACTCACTGGAGCTGTTCATTTGGGCTGGACTGGACTGTGGTGATGGAATTTATGGCGGTGAACCGTCTTTGCGGCGTATTTTTGAGGACGACTAAAAATACCACGCAACGCAGTTTGTGCCAGCTCGGAATTTGAAAGAACTACTATCACTGCACTGGATCTTTGTCAGGGCAAACGACGACTTGATAATTCAAAAAACCCCGATTCCATTCGATGCTATGTTCTCTTAAAAGCAAAATATCCTATCCCTATTAATGCTATCTTTCATGACCAATCTGCTGTTCTGCCGCTTTAAAACAAAACAAAAAGACCAATACCGTGATCAAATAGAAAAGTGAATCCTCATGCACCCTTACTAGACTCTCCGAGACTACTTCATATCAACCCCCCCCCCCTCTTTCCATTAACACAGCTTCTACAGTTTTTCTCCTAATAGTTGCTGGCTCATTGTTACATCTAGCCGTTTAGGCATCTGCATCTCGCTCTCCTACTCTCAACAATCCCTCACGATGTCCAAATCCTTCTGTCCAGACACCATCCACATTAACTTGAGTACTGCTCGATTTGTCATGCCCGAGAACCAACCAGAACCCTAAAGCAGGCTTGGCAAGGATATCTAGAACTGCGTAGGCAATAACAGTCTCATTGGGGCTGATTCCTCTCGAAATGTCTGAAACACCCAAGATACTGTTTATTTTTTTCAAAAAGCAAAGAATTAGCGCAAATTCCTTTATAAGAGGAGGAAAATATTGAATTAAGAAACTTACACAAGGTATCCAGTCCAGACGACGACGGTGTAAAGAGCAATTGGGTTGTAGAGGAGCTGACCACCGCGGCGTTGAGCTGTAGCTCTAGCATTGACGACAAGATGCCAACCGACAGTGAGGAATGCAATCCATGCCATTGCATACCAACCCCATGTAGTTTTTCTACCGTGAGAATAAACAGCGAACAGGCCCGTGAAATTCATGGCAGCTAATTAAACAACCCCGTTAGTTCATATATTCATCGATCATATAATAGTATCTAGGGAAGATATAGCACTTACTAGCAGCGACAATAGTGTTCAAGATGTTACTTCCACTCAACCCAGCCAAAGCACCAAGATTGAAAAGAATCAAGGGGGTAGTCAACAACCAATCAATAAATTTAGCCCAGAAGATCTGTCTCAAGACTACTTTATGAGTATCCGGGATATCATGCTTATGCTCGTTGGTAACCCAGACATGGTGATAACTCCAGCCACCACCGGTAGCTAAGGCGTAGTAAGTGAATGTCGAAATGAGAGTGACATAAGTAGTGGTCTGGAAGAAGAGACGTTTAGGAATCGCAACTCTCCAGGATAACCCGATAAATGTGATCGTGGAAATCAACATGAGAACAAAGAGAACCCATAGTGTTCTGTGACCGAAGTCGGTGATATGTTCAAATTCTGGAGGAGTGTGGGTAACCGTTGGAAGAGGGATGGTCGGCGCGGTTGGTGTAAGGTCTGGAACAGATCCACCAGGGGAGAGCCTGCCTCCGGCGTGGTAATAATAATCTCCCATTTTTGAGGGTTTGTGATATGATAATGAAGCTCTTGATCAGAAGCTGGTACCTTCGTGGACTATCTGATACAATTAGTTCGGAGGGCTTATGATGGATATCTACGAAGTAAATATTTACTCCTAGGTTGTAGATATTAGGATAGGAAAGGAAGTAAAGGATTGGAGAGAGAGAGAGAAAGAGAATGATGACGAGTCCCCCAGCTTAAATTTAAGTAAAACATAAAGGCTCTCTTAATACGTAATGGCGACGGGCCTTATAAGCTCCGAAACGAGCAACTTCTGCCCAACATGTTAACATGAAATGCTGCCATTTATTACACTATCCTTACAGCATACGGTAGCATTTACCATTGTGGCACCCCGGGAGGAAGATACAGCCAATTGCGAACAAAATCGAACCCGCCCATGGGGCGAGAGGAAGGATTGGCGTAACACCGAGCAGATTATGAATCTTCTTGTTCTCCCATTCCTGCTTTGCTCGCTTTTTTGTTCTTTCCCTATCAATGAAAAGGCTGGAAATCCCGATCTGATCAGAGTTTCTGATTCATTCGTTCGAGGCCTTTTTTTTCACATCGTTCTGGCGTCGGACATCCGCCGTGTTACCCCAGCCCGTAATAATGATTACCAATGAATGAATTCATGAAAGAGTGTGGCGGGAACGTGTAGATGGGGGAATGTGGTAATTGGGAAGAAAGGAATTTTATAGGTGTCGTCATAATTACGAGTTGGTTTTGTATGGGAGATGTTGCAACATCGCTTGCAATTGGGGCAGCCCAGCTCAGGCCAGTCGCCTTGTCTAACCGGCCGGGAAGACCCACAGCTTATAATCAACATATTTGCGATGCAATGGCCATGCCCATAGATGGATGGGTGTGCAGGATATCCGCTAGCCATGTCTGCATGCAAGGTCCGGTAAAAGGATCCATCGATCGCGAGTGTCGTTTGCATTGAGCGAGGTATGGGACCCTCCCCCTGCCTTAAACCTTGTCCCACCCCGCCAAGTTGGGGTTCTTTTGGTTGGGATTTTGAAGAAATTCGAATACTTCCAGACGTAATATATGTATAGTGTAAGGTAGGTACTTACTTAGTACTCACGCACGCTACGTTGTGGATTGCGCATATTGCACGGACTTGAGAGAAATAGCAGTTTTAGCCCACGGCTCCCATAAAACATATCTATTACCTAGTACCCAGTTATCTAACACTATTAGAAGAAATGAATACGATACACCCAGATATATCCTTAATAGCCACCTCGATTAAAATTATATGTCTCAGCATAGGCCCGCCCTACATTTATAAGTATTGCATCATATGCACATATCATAGGAGTTTGCGACCCTTTTGTTGGATTTTCCGTCTTCAACACATACCTTGAGCCATCATAGTCGACGTCTCGAGAGCCATCATTTTCTCCCTATATTCAAACGCCTCTCCAACACGATCTTTTAAATTCTGCATGCTATCCGGAAACCCAGGGACTTCCTTGCAAATTAAATCTAATTCGGCTTGTAGATCTTCGAGTGGAAATTCTGGCCGAGTCGATAAAACCAATGCAGTACGTCTCGCCTTTGTGTGCGTTTCCTTTCTAAGCGCCTCTCGATGTTTTCCGAGTAGCTCAAGGAAACAAAACAGCAATGCCTCCCGATACGGCATCCATCCGTCGTCAGCTTCGTGGGTCGGTTTACCTTCGTTTAGCTGTGCTAAAAGCTCGCGTGATTGTGAAAACATAACGAACGCCCCTGCAAGATTATTGGAGGTGGTTGATTGGGTGTTGAGTCCGATAAGGTAGACGTTGGAATTCGGGAATTCGTCCATCATCGTGGTGATGAGTATTTGTTCAAATGGGTTCGGAAGCTTAGACAGTAGCCTTTGGAAGGTCGGGACGGCCTTAACGTCGACGTAAACTAAGTCTCTGTCCTTTTTGCAAATTAGGGAGAGGTTTTTGCGGCGTTCCACATCTCCTTGGTTTTTGATAAGGGGGACGAGCGCGTCGCAGGCAAGTTTGAGAATGAACATGCCGGTATCACTGCCGTCGAAAATTGCTATAGGCCAGACATTTGACCGGGTGCTCAACTTCTGAAGGAGAATAGAATCACCTAGAGCAATAGAAAAGAGATCTCTAGATGCTTTGTCAACCACAGTGAGGAACTTGGCGCACCTCTCCGCCATAGAAATGTAGTCGAAATTGAAGTGAAAATCATCGGCTTCGATGCTGTTGTAGAGAACCTCGAGCAATTGAAGCTGGTTAAGTTTTTTATGCTTTTGCCATTGTGCAACCGTGGTTTCGTCGAGCATGGGGTTTTCGAACTCTGTCAGAAGCTTTTCTTTCTTAAGATCCAAATAACGCTTTATTTGGTTGCCGATAACTTCGGTGAAGCGGAAGGTTAGTTCATCTAGACACCATTTGAACTCCTTCTTTGCAGCATTGGCGAAAACTGAGGTGAAGCCTATCTCCCGTCGGCGGTTAAGGATTCTGTATGGTAACCTTTCACCATTACCGAATCTCATAAGGGCTTCAATGAAAGTTCCTCCTTTTGCTCGGCTTTGGACGCTGAATCCCATTGAGGTGAAGAATCTTGAGGAGCAACCGTCGGGTGTAGTAGGTCGACTTCCGATAAACAAAGTTTTGTCTAGTGCATGGATGTTGATCAAGTCCTCCATATCCGGCCATTTCGACTTCAACAGTCCGTTGACCAGACCAGTGTTGTAAACCTGTGCAGCCATGGCAACTACAGAGTCTTGAACTGCCAAATGCAATCCTAGGCTATGGATACTGAGTCGGACACGGGAAAGAACCAATCCGCATAAGACGGGATCATTACGAAGGAGGAAGTGCCTGTCAGTTTGCAAAAGTTCGGCCCCAGGGATTTTCAACTCCGATTTCAATTGCTTTACGAAATCCTGGACCGTCCATATAGTAAGGAGTTCTAGGGGATCGCTTATTAGGTCATTGATCATGTCGGCATGGTTTGCGAGGTGAGGTAATCCGATTGACTCCCATGTTCTAGAAAATTTGATCAAACAAGTCATCTGTTTCCTGACGGATAGTGAATGGGTCAAAAGTTCATCGTAGGGTTGCTCAGACCCATCTAGCCATAGCGTTTGACGAAGCCTAGTGATGATATCGAATGAGATCACGAGCCAGCTCGGTAGGGTTCTCGTACGTTGAGCTTCTCGGAATCCTTGGAGGATAGGATATCCCATACCCTCAAGCGCGTCAGGCATTAGGCCACCCAAAACCATATAGTCCAGTGAGAGAGCATCCAAATACTTAAATTCAGTCAAACTCGGACTTGAGGACCCTTCGGTTTCGGCCTTCTTCTTTGGTAGTGATGGCACTTTTTCATGAACACGGGGCATTAGAACGCGGTACCATGTTTTGACACAGAGCGCCAGAGAGAGTGAGATTGCTTCCACGTTCTCGAGGTCACATTCTGCTTCGGAAAACCCCTTGCCATTTGGGCCCGTAACGGCGTATCCGTTTCTTTCGAAGAACCTGACCACTTGTGTATGCTGCTTCATATCCGGGAATTGGGCTATTAGCTCTTCATTTGCCTTTTTGATGAGATCAAAAGCTGCGGCAGTAGTGATAGCTACGCTCATAAGACCAGACTGGCCTTTCATGTACTCCGTCCATATTCTTCCGATGAATAGTCGGAGATCAGAGATATCCTGGAAGAAACAGAACAAAGCAAAGAGCTGCTCTTCGAGCTTTGATTCTTCGGGAGCAAGACTCTGCTTAGCTCCGGTTGGCTTCGAAGTTGAGTCATCGGCGAAGTAACTGCTGTCAATAGTGATATTCTCAAAACCTTTGCAAAGAGGTTCCTCACTATCTAGGTGCTCGAACAGGTTTTTAGCCTTTCGGGGAGAAAGTTCCGATCTCTGCTGCGTTTTCTGTGCTGATGCTGGATGAGAGCCCTCGGCTGGTTTGAGAATTGCATGGATTTCCTCCAACACTCTGATGAAGTGCTCATGCTTTTCATGTTCGAAAGCAAGACCATGGGGAGTTTGGCCGCGGTACCATCTAGCACATTTCGAGCGGGCTTTGATGACATCCTCGAGAATTGACAGAAGGTGAGATGGAACCTTAAGCCCCTTGCTAACAACGTTCTTAGCTAATGGGACAAGATCTCGAAGAGTGATGTTCTCGGGTTTGACTTTCGAGGCCGATTTCCCTTTTTTCTTGGAAGCTTTTGATTTGCGTTTTGGAACCAGATCTTTGGCGGGTGCACGGCTGGATTGAACCAGAAAGGAGATGACACGGTTCGTCCCGGCTTTGTACCTCTTGTAGGTGTCAATTATTGCTTCTGGGAGGGTAGACATCGTGAGTTTATTTGCGATTGTCAAGGTGATGGCGTGTAGGTTAGGTGGATGGTTTGGGTTAGACTGGAAAGGGATTATTTGGGGAGGGCATTAAATATAATTACAGCCTCTGATCTGACTTTCAAGTTCGATTAAGCAGGCAGTATAAGATTAAATTCTGGAAGACAGGTGTATATGTGTTGTATCGTAAGGGCTCCAAGGTAAATACGTAAATATATGTATATCTTCATATGACTTGTATTACAGGTCTTGATTGGTCTCGCTTGGGGTCGTGATGCTTGATATGCCTACTGTATCAGAGTGAATATTCATTGAAAAGTATCTAATCCAAAGCCTTAAAATGTGGTGTATTCAAACCATGTAAGCAATATCTTTGCATCACAAGAGCCTTAAATCGATACCGGGGCGAAATACCAGGTGGAATTGCTGCTAAATTGCCTCGACTTGAACAACATTATGTACCTTATATAACTTATACTTGGTCTAGTATTCACTCTCTTTTACCCTCTTATGTAGATTTATAAATCTAAGATTAGATTATCTACGACTTATCTTATGACCCCAGCCAACAATTGGCTTTTCCATTGGATTTATGGATTGAACTATTCGACTTTCGTGTTGAATTTGTTGCATTTTATAGCTACGCCAACAAAGAAAGCCGACCCCGCATTCGAGTCTGCTTGGACGGATATCGTAGACATGGAATCGAGAAGATGCTGGATCATGGCCTCGGTGGGATTGGTTGTGGAAGGGGTTATTAGAGGGGAGATATGTCACATCAAGGGGAGTCAACCGGCCATGTACTTGGTATATGCATATCAGATCCCTTAATCTAGACGGATTGGTATCTATGTATCTGCTAGCGCTAACTAGATTTGCCCCGCACTTGATTGGGCTGTATGAAATAGAGTATACAGACCAGTACCTGTATACTTTACGGTACTCTAGTTTTCAGCTGTTCCAAATTTCAAGAGAATTATAGCGGCTTTCAAGCTACATGTTACGTGCTTAGACTTCTAAAGTAGTACTTAGTACCTACATAGAGAGGTTCATAGCTCGCCGTCCAAACTTGAGTCGCGAACTGCAAGGTTGTCTGAATTGATCTAAAACGCGTCGAACAGAACACCGGCGCTAGACAGGCCTCTATTGGTTCGACATTCGAGGCAGGACCCTTGCAGGCCAGTGGAGCCACTATTGGTCGGTGCAAAGAGAACAGGCTTTTGTCTGCACAGTTCTGGTCAGTTCTCTTAATCGAATTGGCTGTGCGGTGCTGTAAACCAACTGCGCTCGCTGCACAGCACTGCGAAACTTAGCTTCTACGCTGTTGCTAGGCCACTTTGGACCTCACCTAAAAAAACTCTCTGCAGCAGTTTCTTCTTCTCTTCTTCTCTTTCTCTCCCTCTCCTACCCCTACTCCTACTTCACCTCAATCATCACCAACTTCATTAGCAACCCCCAATTGCTTCCAACCTTCTACCAATTAGCAAAGGTATAACAGCTTTCAGTACTTCAGTACTTTCCTTACCATTGGGCCGAATCCTTCTTCAGCTCTGATAGCTAACTGGTTGGAGCTGTGGCATTTTAGCCTCTCTACTGCTAGCTACCTCTCTCCAACACCACAAACACCACTCTCTATCCCTCTGTCTACATCAAACGTTCGAAACTCCTAACCTCCACAATGGTAAGCCTTTTTGTTTTTTATTATTCCCGAGTAGTCGAACATCAGAATGCCGAGCATAGGTGTATGTGAGCTAACATGATTTGGCTGATCTCTCTGTAGTCTGTCGTTTCCCTCCTCAAAGTCAACATCCTGGACAACCCCGCACCCTTCAGTCGACCTTTCAAGTTCGAGATCACCTTCGAATGTGTCGAGCAACTCACCAAGGGTTAGACCAAACTGAATCTGATCCATGCTCCAAACTACGCTAACATAAGGTACTTGGTGTCAGACTTGGAGTGGAAACTAATCTACGTCGGTTCCGCCACGAGGTAGGATCTCTCCCCGCTCCACGTCGCGTGCCTAATCGCATGAGAAGAACGCGTACTGATTACCTTGCCTCTAGCTCCGATTACGATCAAGAGCTTGATTCCTTGCTTGTTGGACCAATCCCCGTTGGTGTCAATAAGTTCGAGTTCACGGCCGACCCACCAGCTTTGAATAAGATTCCAACCTCCGAGCTTCTCGGTGTCACTGTCATCCTCCTGACCGGTGCTTACGATGGCAGAGAGTTCATTCGTGTTGGTTACTATGTCAACAATGAATACGACAATGCCGAAATGAATGCAGAGCCTCCAAAGCAACCACAGATCGAGAGACTGATCAAAAACATACTGGCCGAGAAGCCTCGTGTTACTCGCTTCTCTATCAAATGGTACGTCAAATTCAGGCACGTTCACCTTCGTTGCTATTATACTCACAATCCGTGTCACAGGGACTCTGAGGAATCTGCTCCTGCCGAATTCCCGCCAGAACAACCGGAGGCTGATCTTGCGCCCGATGATGCCGACCAATACGGTGTCGAAGAACTCGAGGACGATGAGACCGAGGCCGAGGTTGAAGCCGAAGCTGAAACTGCCACCCGTGACCCCGATGCCATGGAAGAGGATACCGATATGGGAGGTGTTCCTGCTCCTGCTGTCGGTGATGAAGAATCCGCTGCTGAGGGTTCTGAAGATATTGAGGATAGCACCGACGATGAAGTCGAGGAAGAGGACGAGGAGGGCGGTGAAGAGGACGAAGCAATGGCTATGGACCACGATGGACCGGGTGTTGCTCCTGGTGGAGCTGGCCAACCTCCTGTCCAGCAGCCCATTGCCCAGCATTAAAGTCCCACTTCTTCGCTATTCACCTCTTTTTTTTGTTTCTGCCTTGACTACCTAGCATCGCAACGGGCGGATGTGTGAGCTTCATTTCTTCTTCCATATTAATTTTTTTTTTTTAGATTCTAAGCTCCAAGTGAGTATTCCTTCTACATACTCTCTTATGGCTTTGTGAGTCTCTATGTCGCAGCATGCATCGCCAGCAATGTTTCTTATCTTATCTTCTATCCTTTTTCTTTCTTAATGCCCTTTGCACGAAATAAATATCTTCCTCTTCCTCTTCTATTTTTTCTTTGTAAGGATAAACTGGGTTCGCTTGATCCAAGGGCTACATTCTTCCAACCAGGAATTCTCTCCCTCCTCATCCTCCCACTACCCTCAATTACCTACCTTCTTTCCTCCTATTATGATCATGTTCCGGTCCGAGATGAAGTGTGTTTCCTTGTCTGGCTTTTTCTTATGTAAAGACTAGTGCTAGAACATTTTCCTTATCTCTCATACCCCGCCGACTTTATGTATGCTCAGGCAGTGATGCTAGACCGCACTCTTTAGAGGTGCAATGATGAATAAAAAAAAGAACACTTTCATTCTTCCATACTTTCAGTAGATTCGTAATCATCACTACTTCGCCTCAAAATGAATCGATAGAACTTTAGTTCGTAAGTCGGCTGAGGCTGTGTTGCCAATACCCAGTTAACGTAATTACCAGCCAGCTACAGAAGGCGTCCCCACTAGCAGAAGCACTTTGTCCCTACGGCCATGGGCCGTCGGCGCGGTAGGCTATAGAACTAGTAAAGCATGGTTCCAGGAGGCCTTGAGGGAGTTCGGCATTGCAAGGAAGTCAGTCCAAAGGGAAGAGGTTATAACAGAAGCTACCGATATATAACGGCACCTCCCCTCCTCGCGCGGACAACCAATAACCCCCTCATCTCCCCTAACAACTAAACCCCGCGAACTCGATTTCAAATCTCGAATACGAACTACAGATTTTACCCTGACCCCCTAGAAATTAGAATACAATGGACGCCGAAACATCCCGATTCATTGATAATATTGTAGACCGTCGTATAATCGTCGCCTTCGACTTATTCGGCACGCTCCTAAGTACCGACTCGATCTCTAAGAAACTCGCGGAGTATTATCCTGATAAGTCCGGGGCGATATCTACTGCTTGGAGGAAGTATCAGTTGGAGTATACATGGAGGTTGAATTCTATGGGTAAGCTTTCACACGATATTGTATTTACAGGCCTTAGGGTATCTAGGGTTTCTTTTGTATCATATGCAATATAAGCGGATATTGATAATAGATATATTATATTAGGAACATTCGAACCCTTCGACACCATAACCCGCAAATCTCTCCTCCACGCCCTCTCCGAATCCTCAATCCCGCACGATGAATCCCAAATATCCCAAATCCTCACCTCCTACGCCTCTCTAACCCCCTTCCCGGACGTACCCACCTGCCTAGAAACAATAATATCCACAAAACACCTCCAACCAATAATCTTCACGAACGGTACTTCGAAGATGGCAAAGACTGCCGTAATAAACACCCCGGAGTTACAGTCATTCGGAAAAGTTAGAGAAAGGGATGCTATTTTGTCTGCGGATGAGATTGAAAAGTATAAACCTCATCCTATGATTTATCAATATTTGGCTGCCAAGGTTGGGAAGAGTATTACGGTGGGGGATAGGCATGGAGGTATCGATGAGGTTGTTCTGGTTTCGGCGAATCCGTTTGATATTGTTGGTGGGCAGGCAGTGGGGATGACGGGAGTTTGGGTTGATAGAGCTGGGAATGGATGGCATGATGCTCTCGCTGAGGATGGGCCTAAGGTTGTAATTCGGAGTTTGGAGGAATTGAAGGGGGTACTGGAGGGGATATTGGAGGCTAAGGGAATCGTTTGGGAGAAGGTCACTCAGGAAACCAAGGAGGGGTCGTGAGAGTACTATTCGGATGAAGATTGATGTCAAATAGCCCACGATGTCGAGTACCTGCATGGTTTAAGGGATAAGACTAGTATTGGGGTCGTAGCTAAGGAGGAAAGCCCCCCAGCGTTAACTAAAAGGAAATGTAGTATACTATAATGAAACAACAAGAATACAAGACTTCGACGGGTTTTGTACAAATGATTAACGGAATGTCAAGATGGAAGAAACGCCGTCCCCACGCATATAATACAAACTCTGGTAGACGTAACCCAGCCAAAAAAGAAACATGGCATCTACTCGTCCACTCGGACCATACACCCTCCCTACTTCTCCTCCTCCTCCTCCTTGCTCAACATTAACGATGCATCATCTATTTCTTGTCCTTCTTCTTCTTCTTTGGCGCTTCTTCCTCTTCATCTGGTTCTCTTGATCGCTTCTTTTCCTTCTTTTCGGATTTGTCTTTCTTGTCCTTCTTCTCTTCCTTCTTGTCCTTCTTGTCCTTCTTGTCCTTCTTGTCCTTCTTCTTGTCCTTCTTGTCCTCTTTCTCCTCCTTCTCCTCCTTCTCTTCCTTCTTATCCTTCTTCTTCTCTTTCTTGTCCTTCTTGTCCTTCTTATCCTTCTTCTTCTCGGCCTTTTCTTCATCTTTGCCGTGGATTTCGCGCTTCTCAAGTTTGGAAGTGTCGATCTCTTCATCATCCATATCATCATCAGAACCAGCATCGACATCAACATCGATATCAGCGAGAGCGAGATCCATTGCGTTTTTCTAGAATACCAATACCAATTAGTTTGTCATCTCAATACAACAATTCAAACTTCAGGTTCCAACTCACCATCGCAACCTCGTTCTTTGTAGGAGCGGCACCAGTGGCATAGAAATTTAATCGCTCCTCAACTTGAGCCTTCAATGCTTCACCGAACTTGGTGGTGGGAACATCCGAGAAACTGTCTATTCTCGAAGCAATGGAGCACTTGTTGGCAAGGAATCTGGATATCCGTCCCTTGTTCTTTGCTCCAGCACGTCCGATAAAGGACGAATGGTAGATCAACCCATACTTTGGTGTATTTCCCTTGGTCTTCAACGCTCTGAACAACGCTTTTTCGGCTCCCAAGATCTGGACTGTCGAAGCAGGGTACTTGCTCAAGTTGGTCAAACTACCAGCGTGCGAGATCAATCTAGCACCTACAACCTCACCGATCAAAGCTGCTAAGTTGGGTGCGACAATAGCCATCTTGTTGACTAAGTAGTCGTGTAGTTTCCTTCGGTACTCAGTCAAACTAACTACTCTCTGGGCGAAGTTTGTCACATTCTCCATATCTGCTTCGGAGATGTCCTGTCCCATGGAGACCTTGGCAGCGTCAATGATCGCCTGGGCGATATCAGCATCATCATTGACAGTGGCAGCGAGATCGTGGAGCTTTTCGTTGTTTAGTTTGGACTTGTCCTGGATGAAGAGGGCGAGTTTGGCGTATTGGTAGTTGTCGCTGACGATCTTGACGAGTTCGGGAAAATGCCAGGAGTACCATTCACGAACGCGCATGGCGAAGGTGTTGACATCTTTGTCGAGGAGGTCGAGAAGGGCAATGGATTGGATGATGTGGTTGCTGGGTTAACTGTGTCAGAACCGGTCGCCAGACGATAATACCACCGCCGCTACTGCGGCTACCACCACAAGTTGATGGGAACTTACTCATTCTTCTGGACAGAGAACTTGACCTTAGCTCTGGAGAAAGCGTGACCGAGACCGAGACTTGCACGCTCGACATCGCCGGACTGCAATTGTTTGAGGAGCTTGGTGGAGTGCAGCCTCAGACCACGGATGAGGTCCTGGACGACTTCATTGGTCTCGCATTGGACATTGGGGAAGTCGGCTTTGATGGAAGTGGCGAGATTCTTGTCTGCGATTCCGAGCACGACCTTCTTCTTCTTTGCAGAGGGGAGGTTGGCCTGTAGGAGAGTCTTGAGGTACTCAGACATGATACCTATTCAAGGATTACTTGTTCAGTGATTGTCCATCATCCCGAAGTAGGAGAGGAAACTACGTACCCTCAGAGATATCATTGGCATTCTCAAGAGCATGCGCTGCGCCCCTATAATATGCGATATCGACGTTAGCTATCCAATTCGTTCAAACCTTTCGCGACTTCTACCAAGGCGGAAAAAAAAAGAGGATTGGTGAGGACATACTGGAACGGCGCGAAGGACACCAATTTCACCATCTTTCCGAACTTTGCCAGGTCCTGAATAGACTCCTGGACCTCCTTGAGACGATTTCCAATGGTCTCGGGTTGCATAACGACCTCAAAGATCGAATAGCCGACGGCATTTTCGAGGAGGACGTAGTCGACAGCCGCCATTGTGTCGGTTGGACTTTCGATTCAATTTGATACTAATTGTATAAGTAGATATATGTGTACTGATAGCCCGCGATATCCTATCCGCCTGACCAAACCCGGTATCAAAAATAGGTAGTGTCGAGGAGGGTCACGATGGTTGGCGATGGCTGGGGTTTTGGGTGTGGTGTTTTTTAGTTCGATGGCTTCTGAAGAAAAACTGAATTTTTGAAAATTTCAGCGTGGAAGGTCACAAATGCGGCTTAGTGTTACTTCCCAGCCCAATGCGGCTTAAAAAGGCACATCGTGTGGCTGGTGAGGGTAGGCAAAGTGTGGCTGGTGCTAGGATGTGGGACAAACAGGAAAAACTTCGAACAACAAATTCGAGCTGGTTCTATCGATAACACGCACACACACCCCACCATAACACGCTTTTTTATACCTTTTTACCATCATCGACGATAAATTTTTACTCGATCACGGTTTGGAAGAACTCGGATTTCAAGATACGAAGCTATAGATATCAAATTTGAAGCTTGGGAAGGATGTCGGCAGCTCAGTTGTTAAATCCAAAGGCCGAGAGCAGGGTATGAGGGAGACAACCAGAGCGGGATCGAAACAAGATGCTGATATTTGTCGTTTTAGAGGAGAGGTGAAGCTCTCAGAGTCAATATCAATGCCGGTATTGGGCTGCAGGAAGTGTTAAGGTCAAATTTGGGACCTATGGGGTATGTCCAGTCGATAGAGCTTGGCCTTTGGAGTGGATAGCTGACGAATACTTGAATAGGACGATAAAAATGTTGGTATCTTCGCGATTATAATGAATATAAGGTTCTAATAGCTAAATTTCGATATCCAGGCTGGTAGATGGAGCTGGAGGTGTAAGTTCATAGTCCTGTAATGCTATACGTACCTCGATACTAATTTGTCCGCTGGCAGATTAAACTTACGAAAGATGGCAAGGTTCGATTTCATACCCGTATTTTCCATCCTAGGCGAAGGGAACTTATACAGTCATAGGTTTTATTGAGCGAGATGCAAATTCAGAGCCCGACGGCAGTTCTTATTGCTCGTAAGTATACCATATATCCGGTCTAGTCCATACCATGACACTAACTTTGACACTAGGTGCTGTACGTATTCCGATGGTCTAGGATAGTCGTATACGAAACTCATACGATCAATTTACATATAGGCCACAGCTCAGGACGAAATCACAGGAGACGGCACTACTTCGGTAGTCTTATTAGTCGGCGAGCTACTACGCCAGGCTGACCGATATATCTCCGAAGGCGTTCATCCACGTGTTATCGTTGATGGGTTCGAAATTGCCAAAACCGCTTCTCTAAAGGTATATACCTTGACGCTTCCAATCTACAGATAAGCAGGAAAGAAATATTATGCATACTAGCTAAACCTTTTATAGTTCCTTGATGGCTTCAAGCAAGATGCCACAGTTGACCGTGAACTCCTCCTTTCCGTCGCCCGCACCACCCTCTCGACCAAGTTGTCCCAAGCTGTCGCCGAGACTCTTACCCCGAGCGTCGTGGATGCGGTTCTAGCGATTCACAATCCACCAGAAAAAATCGATCTACATATGGTTGAGATCATGACCATGCAACACCAGACGGCTTCTGAGACCCAACTGATACGGGGTCTTGCTCTCGACCACGGTGCTCGTCACCCCGACATGCCTAAGCAGGTCAAGGACGCCTACATCCTTGCCCTTAACGTCTCTCTTGAGTACGAGAAGAGCGAAGTCAACTCCTCGTTCTTCTACAGCAGTGCAGGCCAACGTGAGAAACTAGTTGAGAGCGAACGTAAATTTGTTGACGAAAAGCTTCGAAGGATTGTTGAGTTAAAGAAAGAAGTTTGCGGGGCCGACCCGTCGAAGGGATTTGTTATCGTCAACCAGAAGGGTATCGATCCCTTGTCTTTGGATGTTCTTTGCAAGAATGGTATTTTCGCACTGAGGCGAGCAAAGAGGAGAAACATGGAGCGATTGCAGCTCGTTACTGGTTGCGTATCGCAAAACAGTGTGGACGATTTATCTCCGGAGGTCCTTGGATGGGCCGGAAATGTCCACGAACACACTCTTGGCGAGGAGAAGTACACGTTTATTGAGGAGGTCAAGGATCCTAAGTCTGCTACAATTCTTATCAAGGGGCCCAACGCGCACACAATAGCTCAGGTCAAGGATGCAGTACGAGATGGTTTGAGGAGTGTCTATAATATGATTACAGATGAGTGTGTTGTTCCAGGTGCTGGTGCTTTCCAGATCGCCTGTGCTGCGCATCTGTCGGGTGATGAATTCAGGAAAGAGATCAAGGGCAAGGCAAAGACCGGTGTTCAGGCCTTTGCCGATGCTTTGTTGATTATCCCTAAGACTTTGGCCCAGAATGCAGGATTTGACATCCAGGACAGCTGTGAGTAGTAACATGGCAAAACTCTTCAAACGGAAACATTATAAAACTAACGAGTTTGACACTAGTATCGGCTCTACAGGACGAGCATGCAGAGGGCCATACCGTTGGATTGGATCTTACAACCGGAGAGCCAATGGATCCCGTCAGCGCTGGTGTCTACGATTCTTACAGAGTTTTGAGGAATGCGATTGCATCTAGTTCTAGCATTGCATCGAACTTGCTACTGTGTGATGAGATGTTGAAGGCTAGGCACATGGTAAGTCTTTTTTTATATCCTTTTCTCTTTTTTTCCAACCTCAACAGGTCTGTAGGATGTTATTATGACTAACAATTTTAATAGGGCGCAAAGACCGGGCCTGGCGGAGAGCCAGAAGAATAAGTACGATAAAAACGAAAAGTCATATTTTATGTATACCTAAGCATTATAGACCAGCAGAGCCAAACGGTTAGAATCCAAAAGCCAATACGATTCGTTAATGCAACATCAGTATACCATGACGACATTTTTGCAAATCTGTCGGATATTCCACTGGACGGCATGAGACTGGTAGAAAGAAAAATTTTTTTTTCTTCGGGCAGTTCATCATCGTTGGAAGTGATTAAATGTGCATACATCAGGAGCTCGAGATGGTGAACCTATGGGAGCAATAAAAGCGTAAAATTCCGCATGAAAACGGAATAAATTGACAAAAAATGGAAAAAAAATGAAAAAAACAAAAACCAAAATGAAAAAAAAAAAGAGGAATGTTGAACCCATTTAAAATTTTTGTAGGCAGGCCCTGGCCTAGGATCGAGAATTTTGTATTCTCGATTAAAGAGAAGAACTTCGATTTGAGCCTTTTACGCCACAGATGCATTGTCCGGTCTTGGTGCCACACATGTACATACACACTCGCCACCAGCATGCGCACTGGCACTGATTTTCTCCAGACCAAAATGGCTTTTGCATTGGCTGCACTGATCAACATGGTGATAAACCTAAAGCATCGACGATTAATTAATATCGAGAAAGAATAAAGAAAGGAGTCTCCAATGACGTATACTACATCGACATGCAGCAATGATCCCTGTCAGAGTCCCCACCGACGGCAGATCACCACAACCTCAATCGACCGATCTGTTGGGATTGTATCCCAGAAAAAACAAACAAAAGAAGAAAAAACAAAAAACAAGAATTTACGAGTGCCCTGAGAATCTTGAGATTTCCTGCTTGGATCAGGAACGACGGGACCCTGCTTTTTTTCTCCCTTTTTCACAGAATCGAGATTTTGAGATCGAAATCTGAGAATTCGATTATTACCTTGATACCTTGGTCGCTTTTAAAACTTTAGTAGGGTAGGTAGTAGGGTAAAAAAATACAACAGGTGTCATGTGTTGACATCGATCGATCGGAGACCGAACATCTCCATATTTCCACAACGACACCATGTAACACGGCTTCAGGCGGTCTCGTGACCCCTTTCTCGGGTTAACACCCTTACAATACTATATAAGGGCTATAGTTAAACTTGTACCCCAGGCCATACTAGTATGTAATGGCGTCTATCAATGTCAATGCTGGCCACTTTCCATGCGGCTGTGAGTTAAGTTTTGTAAGAAACGGCGAACAATAGGGCCAGGAGGAGGAGGAGGTGGTGGTGGTGGTCGTGGAATAGGAGGTTCAGCCACGGTACCAAGCAGCACACAAATTAAATGTAAACGTTTACGTGTACTACCAATAGTAATGGTTCTTCCGACAAGGTCATTGATTTTGCCACCACTGCGGCACGGGAGGCAAAAAACATAAAAAAACAGGAATTCTCCCCAGGGACGTGCATTTTGATGCGGCATGGCCGAAAATGAAAAAAAAAAGGTGAACTGATCAACATTGTGCATGTGTGGACCAATCGGCGGGGTTTCTCACCCTGGGAGGGGAAGTCTGGTCCGTATATGAGACTTAAAACGGTGAAGCATCCCTTCGAACGACTAGGAATCAATATTCTGAGCCTCAAATGATCGGAAGTACATACCTAAGAAGTGAAGAACCGTTGCCAATTGTTTGTAAGGCTGAATTAAGGTTGAAGGCATGTAACTACAGGTACTTGTACAGGAGAGAGCCATGCGTGCCATGGGCTTGGACACTTACTGTGTAGAGGTTAGTCCTTAAGCCTTGCAAGGGAAGTCCAATAGCTTTGTGAACTTTTGCATTCTTTGGCATGAGATCGGGATAGCAAAGTCAATGGACAAAATTCGAATTACATGTTGCATTGTATTGTCTGATATCGAAGGCTGCACGCTGTGGGCGTTTGCTGGCCCCGCCTTAGCCGAAAGGGATGAACCAGGCAGACCAGGGCGAACAGCACCAAAAGGTCAACCGATCGACCGATCCCGTCCAAACGGTGGGAGTGTTTGGCCCACGCAAGGGCAACAGCAGCACCATCGAACAGGTCTAATCAGGCCCGCTACTACAAGGTACGGACATTCAGTCGCAAGATCAGAACGGGCAGAGATTTGCGCTGCAACCACCCAGAAGCAGACGGGACTCCCCAAAAAAAACAAATACGAAAACTAAAGCGGATTTTTAAGTTTTTAAAAGTTCCCTTTCGATGAAACTAACGACATGCGCAACACAATACCGGCCCCTCCCCCCCGAAAGGCTGTTGCTGGCGATGGACAGCTAAATCCTCGATCCCTAAAGCCGTCTAATATTCTCCAAGGTTTCGCACTGCTGTAAAGTACGGAGTTGCACCCCGACCAATGACAGGCCGGAACGGGTCTCTGCCTGATACCTGATACCTGATAGGATCCTGTCGACCCGACGTGGGGGAATTTGGTCATGTTGTTCCAATACAGATGATACTTATGCAGGGAAGGGGAGCGCACTTTGGGATCTGGCGGAGGTCATATGTACGGCCGACGACCGATTCGACGGAAATACCAACATGCAAGTATTTCCAGACGGAAGTACAAGTACAAGAGACAAGTACAAGCTTCAAAAAGGTATCGTCATGCATCTGGACGAAGGTTGCATCAACCGTTCCGTTTGCCGGTTTTTTTCCCTCGCCAGGGTTGACGGCCTGCGACATGGCCTGAAAACCTCGATAGACAGTCAATTTGGCGATGGCGGCCGCCCTCAGACATGTCAGGAGCCCGGCCATTTCGTCAACAGTGGGGAATCGACGGTTTAAGGGCTCCTCGGACTGAAAGGCGCCTAGGCCCGGAGAATCGAGAATCATCAAGGCGATCGGACCCTGGGCAGCCGTGTGGAATCCAGCCCCAGAAGTCCTGCCAAACCCTGATTCCCTTGCGACTTGCCACTGACATTGCTCAATGACGCTGGCTTGTGACCGCGGCTTGTCATTGGTCCGATCGCTCCAGGATGTTTTCCAGGTGCCTGAGGATCGAGAAACACCAGGAATTTTCGTTGGAGATGCCATATTTGCGGTCCGGCCTGGTGCTGGCCTCTGCCTCAGCGAAGGTCTCCTGTGCCCTGTTAATCACTCCACTCCCAAAATACCGGTTCTGTGGGGCAAAAACAGGGCAGACTTGACTCCCGTCCCCCCTATAATAGGGAAAAATATTAATTTCCAATTTTTCCAATTGGTATACCAGTGCATGTGTCACCAGGAGAGGAAAGAAAGAAAGAGAAAAAAAAGTATAGCTTCTTTTCCAAATTTAAATTACGGAAGAACCAAACAAAAAAAGAATAACGGGAAATCCTGATCTACCCGGGGCTAATCGTCACGATACCTGCTGGTAGAATCAGCTTATCCTTTTTTTTCCCTCTTTCTTCTCGAACTCATCCCATAATTCTAACTTCTTTACGACCTCTACACGACATTTTCACGACCGGAAAAAAAAGTCTTTTTCTTTTATCATAATTATTAAAAAAAGGGTCCATATTGCCTCCCCCCCGGGTTGATAACATCAAGGGCTATTGATTACAGCGATGAGTGTGGACTATGTTGTATAGTCAACGACTCTGGCTATTATAGCTTCGGGAACAACTGATCACCAATATATAAGACACACGCGATAGCTTGGGCTTTCTCATGTCGACGACAAACGTCCAAGGCAATCATATGTCGGTCGGTAGCAAGAGCCCGAAATCATCACCCTCGAAATCGCAGAAAGGACGAAATCAAAGGAGAACTTCTCCAGAAGCTTCGGTATCTCTTCGCCATGGAATCACATCTGCAAGTGCATCGGAACCAAACAGGGCCTTTGCCATCCCGCCAACACTACCACACCGAAGCCCGATTAGCCACAAAAGTCCCTTACGATCTTCGTCGCCATCCTCGCAGCATAAGAAACATGCAGCTAAAAAGCTTCAGCAATCACAAGACCAAGGGGCTGGAATGGCTGCGGTGGAGGAGGAGCCGCACCAACCGTTGACAAACGAGGTTGATCGAGAATCTGTGGTTAATTCAAGCGCCAGTGGAAGCAATGATCGAAGCGTCCCAGAGGATTGGTTTAAGAGTCTAAATACCAATGTGGGCGACTTCAACAAGCCAACCGTAGCTGATGGTAGGTACTAAAACCGAAACAAAAAAGAAAGAAAGAAAGAAAGAAAGAAGTGTGCCTGTTTATATATAATGGAGGGCCTCTGCATCCTTTGAGTCTGTGCTAACTTCCATTATTAACCTAGGCGATTCACCTTACTATCTGCCCTCGGAAAAGAAGAGAAAGCAGAGGCACCAACTCAACCCAAACGTGAGAGCAGCGGCGATAGCTAGTGGTGGAATTCTCCCCATTTTCCCCGGAAATCATACTACAAATCTCGGTCGGCTAGCTCCATTCCCGAATCTAAATTACCCGCCTATGGCCCAGACGCAGGATTCCGAAGATGAGAGCGATGTATACAGAAGTGTCATTGACGACCTCACGATCAAGAGTAAGTGGGCTCTCTGTCTCTTTCTTATTTTTTGGTGTAAGCTATTCGAGTGATCCTTGGCGGGATGTGATCCTTGATCTGGGAATTGAGAAGGGAATGCGGGGACAAACGCTGGTAGCCACCATGTGATGATGATCAGGTTTTTTTTTTTTTTTTTCCCCAATAAGAATGATCCTGCTAACTTATGTTGCAACGCTTTCCACAGATAAGAAGCTGAAAAAGAAGTTACGTAAAATGGAGAGACTGCATTGTAATGAACTTGATGAAGAAAAGCTCTTTGAAGTTCGGTGCTATGGGCTTCCTCCGTAAGTAGTGTTGCCGTGTTGTTGTGCAGGTCCAATGTCTCGACGCCGCGTCGATATTTTGAGGATGAAGTCCAGGCTGATGATGCCTTTTCTTTGTTATCATGATATTTTAGATCCCGTAAGCAGGAGCTACAAGAGCTGCTGCAGAATTTCGCTGCTGGAATGGATGGTGCTGGCAAAGTCTATGAAACCAAACGTTCCGATTCGATATCCAATGCCAATGCGACCACCTCGACCAATCCGTCTTCTTCGTCACTTTTACAAAATGCAGATTCGGCGTATGCCACAGAGACTCGCATGACAAGTTTGGATGGAGGCTCGGGTGATGCGACTAAATCCAATCCTCCCAACGTGGAACAAGTAAGGCCTCAGTCTAGGAGGGCGCCAATTTCATCATTGCACCCAGGCAACCGACCATTACAATTTGCAAACGAAAGAACTAGGATGAAGATGGTTGTTAGACGACTGGAACAATTGTTCACGGGGAGTGATGCTCTTCAATCGGAGTTAGAAAAGTCGCAGTTTCAACAGAAAGTGGCGGTCGCTGCAGCTACGGAAAAACATGACACCCCAGTAGATGAAGTGCTTGCTGAATCCGGTGACGAGGATGATCGAAGAGAAGCTGCCATGATGTCACACCAACAAGACGACGATTTGACGAAAGAAAAGAATCAAGATCAGAAATCGTTTTTCGATCCGTCCCATCAGAGGCCTACCCGACCTATGGACATAGACCCAAACCGAGCTCAAGTTGCGGCTGACAATCTTGAGTATCTTGAACACCTCTCTTTCTCTTCAGCTCACAAGAATCATCATAGGCCCACGTCCGCCGGAGACATTACTGGATGGGTTTACCTTAACTTGATCAACAACATGGCGCAGATACACACCCTCCATGTTTCACTCTCATTCATTAAGAAATCCATTCGGGCAATGAGCGACAAGCTTGAATTGAGTCCGGATGGGAATAAAATCAGATGGAAAGGTGGCTTCATTGGTACGAAAATGAGCAGCGAAAATGATTCAAGCAGTGGGATGGGAGATTCAAGTAATGGTGAATCATCGCCGGGTGAAGGCTCTTCCGGTTTGAAATCCAAAACAAAACTGTCATCCGAAGGAAACTCAGGCACTAAAGCTGTTCCGGCCAAAGATATGAAGTCTGGGATATCTCAGATTTCTTCTCCTGTTCCTACACCAAGCGCCTATAACATTGACGCCTTCCGTTACAGACCGTTGATGTTTCACAGCCTGAGCGCGCAGAAGAGCAGTTCAACCGACCAGTCGGAACAAGATGAATCCGAGAGCAGCTCGGAGGCCGAGACTAATAATTCTGGTGGTCCGGCTCCGATCCTCGAGTCTGGTTCAAATGTTGGGCTCAGTGATATGGTTAAGTTAGCACCAATCGATGGGGCTGTCATATACTTTGGAGGTGCGCCTTTCTGCACTGACTTAAGTGCCCAGGTTGTTTTTCGAGACGGAGGTCATGCCTTCGCGAGGAGCGGGGATGGCAAAAACTATGACAGATTTGTTGAGGAGCCTGTTGGGCCTCCAGGGCCTGCGACGAGCAGAGGCAGCGATGATATAGAATCGCTGGATCATCAACCTCTCTCGAAATTTGACTGGTCTTCACAGGATGTGGAAATGAGTTTAACGGATGATTCTGAAGAGATTCTCCCTAAACTTACGTCGATTATTTCACCAACCACTGTTGAACTCCCTTCTTCAATACCATCTCCACGTCCATTTGAATTTTCCGGGATTGGTGGTGTCCGAGCTGAGGACAACTTCGTTATGTATGTCAAGACAATTCAAAAGCCCGTCAATACTCGGAAATCTCGACTCCGGAAAAATGGAATAATCCGCCACCTGATACCCCAAGAAACCCTCAGCCAATTCCTTGCTGACGACAACCCTACTTCTGTGATTGGATTCGAGAGCGAAATTACTGAGACGAATCACATCAAGCTACAGCCTTCTAAACTTCCCGATCCCGTTTTTGCAGTTTATCTAAGTGAAGATTCCTCCGACCCCTTTGCTTCTACCTCCGATGAACCCCAATCACATTTGTCTTTTGCCTATAATATTGAATCCGACTCTCGTTCTTCTGGCGAGGGAATCCCTTCTTTCTACAGTCCAGACATTGGTGATCTTTCTCCGATGGATCTAGACGCGGAGGAAGAAATCGCCATAGATGGCAATCCTCTCGCACCTCTAAGCGTTGTAGCCACTGCAGGGAGCGAAGATGGAAGTATTACTGGTTCAATGAAGGATACTCATATACTAAAATCTTTGGATGATATGGATATTGGCACCCTTTGATGATATTTTTTATTAAAAGCTTTACCTTTTGCATGGGGGACAAAACAAAACTCTGTTATATTCCGCATATGTTCTTTCGCTTTATTAGCCTTGTTTTTTCGTTTCCCACACCGTCTTCCGCGTCATCTTCCATTCCTCGTTTTAAGCATTCATATCTACTGACATTTCCCTGGCGTTTTGTTGGGTATCATCTTCGACATTTTCTAGATACCACTTTATTTTCTTTGGAAACCTTTTTTTTTTGCCCTTCCTCTTCCTCGTTTTCCTCTCGTTTTTTTTATATTTTTATCTTTGTGGGATTCCTTTTTCTCTCAACTATTCTTCGAAAATTTTCATTTTTGCAATGTCGAATCATGAATTGGAAATGTTGTTAGGGGTTTCTATCATTTTTTTTCAATGATGTCTTAACTACCATCGATACTCTTTTAGGTATTTTTCTTTATTTCTTTTACTTGCATATCCTTCAGCTACATAATTTGAACAAACCTAATCTTTTAACCCTTTTTAAATTCTACGACGCTGTATATTTTTTCTTCACCTAACCTCCCGTTATTTCCTCCAGATCCCCTTCCAAGTCCAAATCTCGCAGGCGTTCTATTTATTTGCTATATGTCGGCATCATGACGACCACAAGCTTAAAACATCTGTTATAATATTCTATGAACTTAAATTCACTCCTATAGTGATGATTACTATATTAAGCATATATGCTTTAGCCTTCCTGTGCTTTCGGACGCTAGAAAGATCTTGATGTGGTATAATGGATATATTCAATCGCATAATTTACAAAAGAAAGCGATGCACGGTGTAAGGAAAACAAAACGGACCATAGCTATGCTCCAAGGCCACGGAGAAAGAAAGAAGAAGGGACAGGGGGAAAAAGAAGGAAAAACCCCCCCATCTAGCCTGATTTAACGAGCTTTAACTCATCAGACCCCCAAACACACATCACCAAGTCCGCGATAGCGTTCTCCGGCCTCGGTTCGGTATAAATAGACATCCTTTCATCCCCATGAACATCGAAGGGTACCATCGTTCCACGGTGAGACATTGCGGTAGCCAGCACGTTTCTTTGAACTGAAGGTATTTCTCTCGGTACCTCCGGTTCCCCCGATACTTTTAAATACGACGAATAGTCCAAATGATATCTTAGCGGTTCGCCTCTACCTCTTTTCAACATTGCGCTTGAAGTTTCGGTTAATTGAAAGCTTCTGATACCGAAGTAAAAAGTCATGAGTCTTGTACCTAAACACTCGGTACTCCCGCCGGACCAGACCATATCGAAGCTTAATGCGTCTGTTCCGTTTGAATTTAAAAAGAAAGCGGAGTCTGTGTCGATGGGGATATCTGACATTGAAGGTTTTGGAATACTAGGATCCGGGTCTGGAAATCCCTGTGAAGGTAATTTATCATTTATAGCGGTGTATATCGCCCGAACTTGGAGTTCTCCGGGAGCTGGGAGGGATAATCCTGTTTGTCCGGGGAGTGGTGGTGAAGTGATGAGTTCGTACTGGTGGATTTCGTTACGTTCTACTGGACGACGAGACCATTCTTCTTCGTCTCTTGATAGACTAACTTTCCCAAGTTTGGTGATTCGAGTTCTGCCCCAGAGGTTTAAGTAAATACTGACTTTTGGGTTATCGTGATGGTGGAGTTTTGGAGCACGTTGCCGGACGACCCGGAATTGGATGTAATCGTGATAACTTTGGAGCATTTCGTCGTCTTTATCACGGGTTATGGTTGAATGGATTATATCTTCTTCTGAAGCGGATATGATACCGTCTTCTCCTTCTCCTTCTCCTTCTCCTGCCCCGCCTTCTTCTGATACCGTTCCTATAGTGATTGGAAGGGTTTTGATGTAGACTTTAAACCCTGCTGCTTCTTCTGGGTGTTTTCGAAATTTGACACCGTTTCTTAAGTCGGGTTTTATGAGGAGAACGTGGGAGTCGTCGACCATTACTACTTTGTCTGCGGGGACGAGAGGGGAGGCTGTGAAGCCACGGGTACCCAGGGCTTCTTGTTCGTAACGGAATACCATTTTTCCGGTGAAGATGTCCCAGACGAAAAGGCCGACTCTGAGGGAATTGCTGCGGTTGCTGAGGGCTGCGTAGTGGGTTCTTGAATGGTCGCTGACGATGCCCTCCTATTTCATCGTGAGAATCAAAAGAGATTAGTTGAGAGTCATAGTTATCAAAAACTTTTAAAAGGGTAGAGCGACATACTGTATAATTGACATGTCTGTACTTAAAAGTCTCGAACAGTGATAACTGTTCATACGAAGCCTTCCGCTTCGCTTCATCTTGCAGTTCTACGCCCACCTTCGCAAACGGAGAAATCAACCGAAATATCTGAACGACACTGGTATAAAACGATCCAGTTACGTTCTCCAATTTCCCTTCCTTGGTATGTTCGATCACCAATATATCTTCAAAGACTCTCAGCCTCCTGACAGAATACGCAGAAGGCTGGGCTCCCATATTATTAGTCCCCAATTCCAATCTCATATTCGAATATTCTGCCAGATCATGATTCCAAAAGATCACTTCAAGCCCCCCAGCCATGGGACTGACGTATACGAGTACATCATCTGCAATGGCGTAAACGAAGTTATTTGATGCATTTTTCCGAAGTGGTAATCGTATCTCCTGGATCGGTGTTCCCTTTCTAAGATGTTGGGTTCTGATACTAAAGTTTCGAAATAGGGATTGGTAGTACTCTGGGGTTAACTTGGGAGCCAATTCATCAGTGCTAGTTCCCGATTCTAGGTCCTTTTCTAGACGGGTTATTATTTGATATTCTCGAGAGGCGGAGCCGTAGATGCGGATTGCGGCCCGGAGGAGGTCGGGAGAGGAGAAGAGTTCGTTCCAGTGCTATTAGACATACGTACACACGCGGGGTTTCGTTAATATAAGTATTAGTTTTCTTGGAATGAGACCCATTGGATATGTATTATTAAAGTTTGAGATTTGATTGAATTCATGATATTGAGGTTTTTACATACTTTGTTTACTCCTCTTACTCTACAGACGTCAGTAGCTTCGAGATATGATAGCAGGGTTAGAGCGATATGTATCTCGAGTGCTGAGGGATCCATCGTGTTGGAGATTTTGGGGGTGGAAATTGTGTTGGAAACGAAGGTTTTAGTTATAAGCCAGCTGCACAGCTTATGCTCTCACGATCGATAGATAGACAAAAAAATGGTCCTAAGGATTGAGGGGCCGAGGACCAGCTTACTTATACTAAAATTATTTCGGTACATCTTCTAGGAAAGGAATATAATCCTAGCAGGCGGCAAAATCTTTTTCGTATTTTATTTTAGAAGTTTTATTTTATTTTATTTATATTTCAATCAGCTTTTACTGGGTTTGTATTAATCATGGTACAAATACATCTCGGGTGCCTTGACAGGGATTGCGTAAGGGAGATCTGACATTCGAATCCAAACGTGCAACATGACTGTGCTCGGACGGGGCCATGAAAGCCCCTCTCACCCCGCACTATTCTTAACCAAAATGGCAAATCCTAAAATCCGGGCTGTAAACGCGCATATCAAGTGGCTGCCTCTCTATGCAATTCCCAGCTCTTTTTTGGAGATCGAGATGCCCGGTCTTATGCATTATGCACCATCCTATCGCGGGATCAAAAATGCAACAGATCTGCCTGTGTTGTCATGAAACATAATATTGTGATTAGACATTAAAAATTCTTTATAGTATCTACAAAATTGGATATTTTTTTCAAAGGGATAAAAGAGAAGAAGGGTAAGAAGAAGAAGAAGAAGAAGAAGAAGAAGAAGAAGAAGAAGAAGAAGAAGAAGAAGAAGAAGAAGAAGAAGAAGAAGAAGAAGAAGAAGAAGAAAGAAAGAAAGAGATACGTGCAGCAGTGTAGTATCTTTCATGTCCAGTTGCTACTTCTTTTCAAAGAATTCCGGCTTGAACACTCCATCTTTGAGTATATCCGGAAGACCGTTCCAAACATAGATATTACCCTCCTTCGCAACCCTCTCTCCGGTCTCTGGTGAAATCTCATGAAGAACAATCGATTCCAGAGTGTAGTTTGCGCCTTCGTATGTATTCAAACGTTGAAGGTGTGTTTGATTGGTGACATTATAGGTGGATCCTGCGATGGGGACCGAGCCCTCTGCAGCTGGGTCTTCGCATTTGACAAGGGCTGGATATGGTCCCCATAACTTGATTTTGTATCCTGTGATCTCTGCGGGTGTGAGGATGGGGTGTTCGGAGAGGTTTAGGATACGCTTCAGGACGGATGGGATCCTGAGAGTTCCGTAGAAAAAAAGAAGAGTGGGTTTGAAGTCTGTAGAAGTTCCCGTTGATTGGTCCATGGTGGAATCAATGATACTTTTAGAACTGAAGTTCTCTTAGTGTTTCGTAGTTTAGTCAGTAGCAGAGGAGTGTTTTGTGGAGTTGATGAATCTTGAAGTTGTCTTGAAACAAGATACTTGAGAAGAGCAAGTATTAATATTTGGTATGACTCTTAACTCTATTTCTATTAACTCCTGTTGTTAATGCAATGAGATGCTCAGTCTTGACTCCAAATTAGGCACTGGCTGTCATGTTCCTAAGGCAATAAACAACGTTAATAAAAAGTACAACAGGATCAACGCAGATGAACCAATGCCCAGCTCCTCATCATGAACAAGAAATTTTTAATATATCAAAAAAAAAAAAAAAAAAAAGTAAGAACCACAAGATGTCAGGAATTCTTCTTTTGAATTTTTATAAGCCAAACCGGGGCTCAGGAACTGATCGGAATCCTTATCTAGAATATTCCTCGCTATTCCATCTTGTGCTCAACTTTAGAGAGCCTCCTGACCTTCGTCTAGCTTCGACACGATACTATACCCCCCTCAGAACTACTATCAACTATCTATATATATCCCTTTCTAGATCCCTTCAAATAGGATGAAAATGGAAGGGATTGGAAGTGACGTTATCTAATATGTTCAACATACCCCTCTACAAAAAGCCCCTATTCCCACAACGGCCTAGTAACTCCCGTCGAAAAATCGTGCTTTCACCGGAATTCAATTTTTCTGACAATATCGATACTCCTATGGCCGATAAAGCTGTATAAATCGGGGGTTCATCCAGAATAGAAGGCTTCCACAAAATGGAAAACTCCTCTAGGATAGAAAGCTCATATAAGATGGAAGGGCTCTCCTGGAATGGGAGAGTCCACTAGGATGGGAGAGTCCTCTTGAATGGGAAGTTCCTCCAAAATATAAGGCTCCTCAGCACACCTCCACATTCAGAATCAATTCCCCAGCCCGACGAAGATTTTCCTAAAATACTTTCATTCCTAAAATTCTCCAAAAGTGTATCGTCGAGAAGGATCCAAGGGTTCGGGCGACCATAGAAGTCGTAGACCGCAGCAGTCGCAGTAAAGAACCCTTAACGATGATTTGATCGCTGCCAAGTTTGCTATACATGTATACATTATTTTCGTGGAGACCAACCGAAAGTCTAGGACATGGAGGGAGGCCTTATCGCAGCCATCATTGCTCGCCCTGAAGGCAAATTTACCGAGAGCCTAGATCAGTACGTATTCTGAAAAGACTTCGCACTATGGATGGCGGGTGTTCAATGTTTATGGAGGGATGCACATCAAATTACCCTGCGATGGTTACACCCGTCCGAGATCCATATACCCCGCCGGTGATACCGGCCCGGCCTCCTAGACGGATCACGAGGACTAATAAGGAATAACTCGAATATAAAGGCGTGCGGGAATCGACAGATAACTTGGTAACCTACCAATTTCGTCTTCAATCGGACAAGTTCAAACGTCATTTTTTTTTTTAACTTTCTTGGGTTTCACGGGGTTTTTTTTACTCTTTTCATTCACTATTCCCGTTTTCCCTTTTCTTGGTCGTGGGTTTGCGTATACGCTTTTTAGACAGAATTCGTCATAAGTTCTAGAAACAATGGTAATCTTGAGCTACATGTCTTCAAATGGCCTATTGAACCGGAAATTTCTAGTGCAGCTATAGGCATTACGAGGCTGAGCTTACTGGAACTAAAAACCGCGCGGATAGTAATAGTAATAATTAATGTTTTAAGGTTAATTGGAACTAAGAAAAGTTTCTGGGAAGACGAATAATGCAAATGTTATATAAAGTTAATGCACACAAAAAAGGGAAACCCGACTATCCTGTTAGAATCATGGTTATTTCTCTCCAATTTGTATCCTCCGAAAACGCCAATGGTATGATAAGTTCTACGGCTTTCTTCTTCAACTCCAGCTTTCCGTTCAACTCTTTATCTCCAGCTATATCCCTGCATGGTACCTGAAACCCATTTCTTTTTTTTCTTTTTCTTTCTCTATCTCTCTCTTTTTTTAGAACAAACTCTTCGCTCCTCCTAAAACAGCCTTACGCTTCTGGCTTTCGATAAATTTACTTGTAGCCTTTGCAAACTCCGCCGTAGTATTTTCTAGATTCTGCATATTATCCTGGAAATTTTGTAGATTTTGGGTTCGGGCGTTGAAAGCATTCGCCATATTACCGAAGACGCTGTTGCCATTAGTTGCTGCGGGACTCTTGTCGCCTCCGTTGGCTTTCTGCTGTGCCTTGATTTGTTTCTGGGATGGTGGGCGATCTGGACCGCCGATGAGAATGTCGAAGTCGTCGGCTGAGATGTGCTGCGTTCCACTAATCCATTGAAGACCGCTGATAGTAGGGCGGGCTGGGACTGCGATGTCTGGGTTATAGAGGATGTCCTTAGGTTGGGCGTGACTATCAAAAAAGAAGCCAAAATTAGTGACCTATGATTTAGAAATGGGTAAATCATCGACGGAAACTTACAGTTGCTTGCCTGTTCCCCACAGGTAGAATAATCCGAACTCGACATGACTGGTCCACGCGGAAATAAAACCTTCCCGGGTAATTCGACAGTTCGACAGTTTGGTGCGATCAATGACGGCAGGTAAGTCGAAAACTCCGATTTCCTTCAATGCTGGAATCGAGAATACTCTAACTTTGCCAGTGGTATACACACAAACCAAGACAATACCCTTATCAGGAAGCTCAGCCACCCCTGCTTGCACACAGGTCATTTCGTCCCAGGACTTGTGGCTCTCCTTGTCCTCAGGAGGTATGATAATTCTGGCCTGGTTGGATGTAACACAAATAATAAAGCCGTTGACGAACTGTCCTTGCCGTAAGCCGGCAACAGCATCTGGTGTCGCACGTGCTGAAGCTCCAGTTTCGGAGTTGATAGGAATTAATGTGAGCGGTGGGTTGTCGATCGGGTGTCCTCCAGCACACGAAACGGTAAATCGGGAACCCTCGGGTAGAATCTTGAATGTCATAACATTCTTGAGGTTGGTTCCGACGTGAAGGCAAATGCTAGAGAATTCTGTGAGAGAGTTAGCTTATGCTGATAGGAGTTGAAGAGCCGATAGGAGAAAGTTCATACCATCTTCTCCAATAGTCATAACGGAGAAAGCCATAGTAGTAACATATTCAGTCTTATCTTCCTTTTCTTTCTCCTCCTTAATGCTGCTACTGCTACTGCTAAGAGAGCCAGATTTCCTAAAGCCAGGGAAACTAGTGCGTTTTGCCTGTGAGGGGAGTTCCTTCGAAAAACTGGCGACCGCCACACTGCCTCGCTTGATATCTTTCGCAATCGAGGTTAAGCTGCTTCGTTTTGCTGCCGCTTTGGCAACTTCCTTAATGCGATTAACATCCTTGGTGACAGTGCTAATAACGATGGAGTATATAACCGTGGGGCCCTAATGAGGAACTATATTAGTTGTGCAACTTCCGAAAAGGGCGTGAGGGAAACATACCCGAAGATCGACGACGGTTAGAGTACCGCTGTCATAGCCAATGGCGACGAAACCGACATCACTGACAGCTGTAGTCTTGACACCTCCAGATCCGGCATCCATAAGATACAGTGGTAGGAGACCTTCTTTCAGGGTTGGATCTGCCTGGCTTGCAATGTCTCGTAGCTGACCAAAAGGAGAGGATGTCATTCCTACGGCCGGGCTTGTAGGGCTCTGGAGATTGCCTTTGTAGCTCTTGTTGCGACCCCATCGATAGATCACTACTTCACCGGATTCCAATCCAACTGCCATCTCCCCAGTTGCCTGAGATGCAGATACAGCCGAGACCTTAACGGAGCCGGGTTTGCCAACTACAACACCAACATCAAGCTCCAAAGCCTCTGGGTTCTCGATATCATCGTTGTGACCGAGATCCCAAACCCTGACTGTTGCATCTTTGTGAATAGTACAAGCGATACTTCTGTCTTGGTATCTTCTGGTCATCCTCTTAGCGTCGGCGCCTCCCTTAAAGTACTCTGCCGGCTTGTCTCGGATGGCCACCATACCAAGCCATTTCTCGCGGCTGATAGGAGCAATCTCCATAGAGAATGGCTTCGGATGAACCATAGCCATACTGGGATGCATCATGCCAGCGGGCGACAAATATTCGCCGTCTGGATATCGAAGGGTCGCAATATCACCATTAGTGAACAGGACCATGACAGCAGACGGGTCGTGCGAACCAGCGTGATATGGGGACGTCTTCGGCAACATGCAAAAGTCAACGACGTCGATATTATGTGGGACTGGCAGAAATCGCTGTCGCTTGGGATTCCCTAGGTGCTCAGTTATTTGTTTCCAAGAGGAAGTAATATTGTTCGGTGCGACTCCGAATTCGATCAACGTTAGACCCTTTGCAGCCATTCCAACATTGTTACCACCTGAAACCAGCAGACATGTGTCGTCGATATTGTTCGAGCAGCACCATGCGACTTTGTGGAAGGGTTCTCGGAGTGTGAATGCAGCACCTAATGCAGGCCCGCCACCAAACCCAGCCATTATGGGAGCTGGTAGGTGAACATCGAAGTCTTGTAGCGTCCTTGCAGTCAATAATCTTCCGTCAGTTGTACTCCAGAAAGCAATGCATCCATCTTCGTATGTCGTCAAAACGGTTGTACCGCTAGGGTTAAATATAGCATTTGAAAGCTTTGGTTTCCGAAGGGTTTTTATGGTCGCAGCATCTAGATCTGAGCCAGGTGCACCGGGTTTCAATTCGAACTTCATCGTGAAAGTAGCTTTATTTTGTTTCAAAGAGAACAACAAGGCGCCCTCGAGATACGAAATTAAAAGAGTACCTAGATCTCTAGGGTGCATGGCGATAGAAACAACAGGGAGGGAAACCGCCTTCGGGCTGTGTTCCCTCCATAGGTTTGGAATTTTGAAAGGAGCTGCTATATCCCCATCAACATCAAAGACCACGATCTCTCCATTTTGTAGTCCGAGGAAGATGAAATCTGAGGCAGGATCGGTACAGATTGCCGAGACGGCTCCTGGCGGGGACCACGAGCACACGAGTGCATGCGTAGAAAGATTGAAATGGTGTAGTTCATGCTTGCTATCGATAACGAACAGTCTGTCATCGTGTAGCCGTAAATATTTTACCGAAGTTTTCCTTGGTAAGTTGTATCTGATAGATACTCTGCTGCGTCCAAAGATGTAGATAGAACCGGGCGAGGCATCGGTCTCATTTGTGCCGACCGCAACAAGAGACTGTACGGGATCATAAGCCAAAGCCGATGGCTTGCCTTCGAAGCCGTATCTTTTGACCTAATAACGTTTCCCAGTAGGAAAAAAAAATGGTGGAATCTCGTTAGCCTTGACGAATTTCGAAGGTTGTGTACCGAGAAAGACGGAGCACATGGGCATCTGCATATTGTTCGACTGCCATCGGCTCAGAGTGCCTAAATCCAACCAACAAACTGGGTAATACCACTTACGTCATCGAGCGCTAAATCATCATTTGAAATGTTCCCCGAGAGGTTGATTTCACCTTCACTTTTGCGTCGTAGAAAAGGCATTTTTCTGTCTTTGAGGTCCAGCCTGCCTAACTTGTCGGCGAGTTCTGAGTTTTTGGAAGTCATCGTGGGGAAGGTGGGAAGGAAAGTTCCGAGAATGGGGTGTGTTTGTATGTGTGGTACGCAATGGGTGGATCGGTCGGTGGTGGCACCAAACACCTAAACTGCTGCACTGAGGGACTGGTTGGCTGAGCTGAGCCGCACGCCGAAACTGAAACCGAAACAAATTATATGGAAGCTTCCTAGTAGATATTGATATTGATAAGACCGGCTAAGGAACGATAGATATTAAAATGCTATTAGAATTAAGAGAAGGCAAGTTAAGTTGTAATTGCGAGTCAGTCGGCAAGTACCTCTAGAATTATAGTAAGGATAGTAGAAGAAGGCCAGGCTAGACTAGACTAAAATATAAAAGCCAAGTAGCAAGATCTTAAGAAGGGAATAAGTAGTCCTAAAGTATCTACAGCTTCGTCGGGCCTCTGTGGTAATTAAATAGGTAGCCAAAGCCCTGGGACTTCAATAGAATCGTGCAAACGACGCTTCAGCATATGCCGTCCGGGCACTATTATAGCCTCCTTCCTTTCGGCACCTAATTAGACTCAACCATGCTGTATTTTCTGGCCTCCTCTGACTTCTTACTCCCAATGTGTCGAGCTGCCGTTATCTCTCGGACCCTTCTAACAGTGGCCCATGTACCGTGTCCCGCCCAGTGGTATAAAAACAGCAAAGTAGCGAGAGAAAACTGGCTTTTTCTGCATCCATTTGCATGCTGCTACTAGCTCCACTATCGTGCTGAAATGTTTAGTGTTCCTATATTGGCAGAAGCAAAGACCAGACGTCGCTTATCCAAAATCGATCATGGTGCTTGTTATTTCTTATTCTTTCTTATTCTCTTCGCTAATAGTTTACGGGTATTGGGTGTCTGTGGCCCCCCCGTTGATTCCCTTTGTAGACATAGTGTTCGCCGTAATATCAAGGGCCTTCGTTGAGCCGTGTTTCGAACTCGTACGCGGAGTGCAAATTAATGGTAATGAGATCGGAAGTAAGTCCTGTACCTAAGTCAGTCCCGGTAACAATTACTTAAGTTTACAGGCTTACATACCAGTACTGAAAAATCCTTCTGAGGTTTCTCTGACCGGCTGAGTTTGTAAATCGAAGGTGTAACGTTCGACCAATCCGATCGCGAAGGAGTCCTAGGAAAGGCTTCAAATTTAGTAAATCGATCCAAGGTCCGTGGGGAGATATACTCTTCTAGTGAAAGAGCCCCGAGACATTAGGATATGGATATCGACCGATAGTACTTCACAAGTACGTGCTGTGTATATTTCAGCTCGTAACCATATTCGCCCCTGGTTATGTATAGACGTTTTGAAGTACATCAAGTCCACATTAACTAAGTACTTAGCGGGTTTGCTAGCAACGTTTGCCTCTGATAGGTGGGGTGCTTACTACTTATATGATGGGAGGGTTATAGGCTCGAACTACGGCAATGTCGCGGGAGAACGCCCCCAGTTTCAATGATTGGTAGCTTGTTGCAGCGTCTTCCATAACCGAGCGGGATGAGGTCCTTGTATATATATCCTATCCCGATAATAATATTGCAATCTCGATCTTGACATGATTCCATGCAGGCAAGTAGAATAAATGATTTATATGCAGCCTTTGGAACTCGTCGACATACAACAGTACCAAATGTCAGCGTGGCCGAGTGGTTAAGGCGTTTGACTCGAATTCTCTCTGAGTTGGACATCAAATGGGTTCGCCCGCACAGGTTCGAATCCTGTCGCTGACGACATCTTCTTCTTTTTGCCCATTTCGGGCTCTCTCTTTTTTTTTGTCTCTCGATCCCATCCTTCTCTCTGTCTTTTTTTTTTTTGTTTTAGTTGAGCTAGACCCACTGCGAATGACCAATCCAAACAGGAATAGTGGTTCGTTAACCTTGTTTTACGGTTCCAGGGTCATCTGTGGGTCGGCTTTGGATTCTTCAGACGACTTGACCAAACGGGCAGTTGCAGCCTTTTTGCACTTTTGACCCTGTTGGAATTTTGATACATGCGTTGACAAAGTTTCAAAAAGTGTTCACGATATGAAGACTAACGATACTATCGCTGCCCACGAGATCGCAAGCATGCAATGCATGTCTGTGCCTGTATCTGTTTTATCGTCGCAATCGCTCCCCTGTGTTCACCTTGTTCCGTTTATAAAGGTGAGCTTTCATAAAATTTAAAACCTTTCGGATTTAAAC